TGGCTGGGAGGTCACAGCTGGGTGGCCCTTCTTCCTGCAGACCAGAGTGTGCACCCCAGGGGCTCAGGGTCATTTGATTTTCTGTTGCTTCCTTCTGCATCCTTCCATCACTTCTGCATCCTTTGGATACACTTGTGCTGACTTTGCCTTCTCTGGCCTCCATCCTGAACAGAAAAGCTTTCCAAGGACCTGGGTGAGAGTGATATGAAGGTAAAAGCAGATGCACAGGCTGACCTGACTTAGCAATCTGCTGCAGACAGCACAAAATCATTCTAAGAGGTGGTGAGCAAGATTCCTTGCTTGCTGAAGAAGAGAAAACAAAGCTCTTGGTGCAGAAGTGGCTTGTGATAAAACCCACTTAATTGACGAGTGGGAAGAGGCTTATGGGTCCCTTCTCTGCTGTGCACTCCCTCCCAGATACTCTGGTATTAAGTAATACTCCTGCTCTGACCAGCTGTTCCCATGGCAAACAGCCATTCTAATTCCACAGGAAGGATTTTGGGGCTGCAGAAGCAGTGATTGATAAATCACCCACTGCTGCTTCCTCTCATGTGCCCCAGGCCTTGTCTCATAGCCAGCAGTGCAGGTGAGGGGTCTGTGCTGGCACACAGCTGGGCCAAAGGAGAACAAACTTCAGGACGCTGGGTTTGAGCCCCCCAGCTTAAGAGGGTGGTGAGTGCTGGGCTGTGCTCTGCACCTCCTGCTGCCCAGGCCCTGAGCCTGCCCCTTGCTGCCTCTCTGTGCCTGGATGTCATTCCTGCCATACCTGAGACACCCAGGCAAAGGCCTGGCCCCTGTGGTGTGCAGCAGGACTCCTGGGAGAGCTTGTGGAGCTCAGGGGCTCTCAGGCACCGTCACCACCCCGTGGAGGCGAGGTGGCACCTTGGCAGTGATGCCTGTGTGTGGATCCTGGGAGAGGATGGACTGATTCTGGCATCAAAGCCCTTGTACTGCAGTCCTAGTAGACCCAGTAAAGCACTGCAGTGAGGGGCATTGCAGTCTTAAGGTCACTATTTTAGTTTATGCCACACCGGGTGAAAAGTACAGCTCATTCCTTTCCTTCATGGAGCTAATGATTAACGTATCAATTAGGTGTGAGAAGAAACAAAATGTATATGCTCAAGATAAAGTAGACTGTACATGAAATAAGAAGCTATTGTAGTATTTGTTTAAAAAGCAAAGTGGGAGTTATTTGCACTGGTTTGTGCAGGCCACTGCTGTGTGATTATGGGGACTGATACCATTTTCAGGGTAAGCATGATTCATGGTGCTCTATGCTCTTTAAGGCTGATTAGGAGGTGGGAGGGTCTCTCAGTTTATACCTTCTCCCATCCTGTTTTAGGAAAAACAATGAAACCATCAAAAATGGAGCCTAGAACTGAGTGCTGTCTAGTGCCTCCAAGAGAAATCACCCTTGTTTCTCTTCATTTTGGGACCACCAGGCTTCTGTTCATAGTGACAAGGACCCTTTGTGCTGTAGGGGGTGGTTGGACAGCCCAACCTTGGCCAAAAGAGAGGTACAAAGCAGCTGATGAGGTCCCCAGTAATGCTCACCATAGAAAACCGGATGGCTTCAGCTTGGAGGCACTCAGACACTGAGGAATCTCACAAAAGCCACAATTCCCTTCACTGGGAGATTTGGATTGGGTTTGAATGTGGTGTTTGGGGTGTTGACATTGTGTTTGTACAGCACTGCTGCATGGGCTGGGAGGAGTGGGTGAAGCTGCTACCACGTGCTCTTGATGTCCTTCCTCAGGTACTCATGTCACTCTGATAGTGCCCTGAAGCCAACAGTCAGGTGTCCAAATTTAGCAGATTGGTGTAGGGTGTCTCTAGGTTGGTGAGAGGCTGGGCTGGGAGCAGTTCACCCAGCCTGTCTTTGAGCTGGTTTTCAGCTTGCATGCTTTGGTAGCTGTGGCTGAACAACTGACCACCCTTCAGCTGTCCTGCTCCTCTCCTGACCTCTGCAAGCCCCACACCCAGATCAGAAAAGCTGTTTAATGCTGTATCTGTGCTTAAAATCTCTCTGGCAATTTGTGTGGTGACAGCTACAAAGCTGCAGCTCCTGAAGCATTGATGTGGCTTCAAAGAAAGCTTCACAAACTGTGAGGAGGGGTGGCTGTCTCTCTTCAGAGCAGTGCTCCAGCTGTGAAAGTTCCAGTGTTGATGGTGTGCACACTCAGACTGCAGCAGTGGCAGAGCTGCCCATGAGATTTGCTCTCCTTGGAGAGGAGCTCTGCAGTGGAAGGCAGCAACCTCTCAAATGTGTATTTCAGGTGTTGTCTTTGGGGCATTCATTGAACTTGGAAGGTCTGTAGGTTTGAAGTACTGTGGCTGCCTGCCATGGGGGAAATCCACAGCTTTTTTTCATAGGGTTTCTGCAGAAAGCTGTTTTTGCCACAATGTGCTGCTGGTTTAAATGGCTTCCAGCTTTTGGCAGAAGAAAGAAGAGGGAACAAACATGAGCACTGTTTCTAACATAAAGGCTCACCCCAAACCCATGGTGAGTCCTGGAAAAGCCTTGATATGGCTGCTGTCCCTTGCCCTGTCCTGGTCCTGCCCCAGCTGTTAGTGGGCAGCTGTGACTGTCCTTTGTCCAGCTCTGGACAGCCCCTTCCAGCACAAGCCATGGCAGCAGTGCCAGGGGGCTGGCTGGCAGGAACAGGGGTGAGCCTATGGACAGTGTGACCCCCTTGAGCAGAGGGGCAGCATCCAACAGGAGCCAGCTGAGAGCCGTGGGGAGAGCACCCGGCTCCCTCTGCACAGGCCCAAGCTGGGGAAAGCCATTTCCTTCAATATTTCAGCAAGTGTTTCATAACAGCACTTTGTACATGCCTTGGACATGCTTTGTCGGCTGTCCCTGACTCTTGGCTGTAGCTTAAAACTTCTAATGGATTCATCATAAATACTTCAGGCAGACACTTCTTGCAATCCTGGACAGCTGATTTCAACTGGCAAAGGGCAGCCTCCTTCTGTGGTGTGGATCTGCATGTCTCAGGGCACTGGGGCCCTCAGTTTTGGGTATGGCAATGCTCTGGCAGCAGCAATCCAGCTCCCCATGGCTCAGAGGTGGGACAGCTTGAACCTGACAGCTGGTTGGAAGGCAGGGCTGTGTGGGGGCTCCGGCACAGAGATGTCACCATCTTACACAGGACTCTTAGAGCATTTAGTGTGTGTTTTGCCTCCACTGATTGTAACAGGACCTTCTTAGAGCAAACAAACACACCAAAGAGCTGCTTGTTTAGAGCTCCTGGATCCACAAGGTAATAAAGTCCAGACCAAGCCCCTGGGTCACCTCTCCATGGAGAGCAGGCACTGGGCAGAGCTGCTGACACGCTGCTGTGTAAGGTCAGGACTCCAAGCCTCCATGTTCTCTTTTGCAAGTCTTCCAGCGTGGCTTTGAGTGCAGGGAGGAGAGAGGGGCCTGACCAAAGTCCTGTCTGCCTTGTGACATATTCCCCTTGGGACAGCATGGGATGGGTCTGTGGTCCATCCTTTCTGGGGAATTAAAGAGGCAGCCAGGGTGGCAGGCTCACAAGCCATGGACCTTGTTCCGCCCTCCTTGTGGGTGTGGCAGGGGCTGGCCCTGGGCGCAGCCCTGCCCTGCAGGGAGGAGGTCGTGCAGCCTCCCCCTGGCAGCCAGGTTTCCATCAGGTCCTGCTCTGCTCCGGCTGGGAGGTGCCAGCCAGGGCTCTGCAGGGGCGGGCCGGGACAGCAGCACCTGAGGGAGGAGAGTGTGTGGCACCTCTCCTGCTCCAGCACAGCCTGTCACAGCGCTGCCACCTCCTCCTGGGGCTGAAGGGAGAAGGGTGCCTCCATCCTGACATTCCTGGAGCAAGGGCTGCAGGTGCTGTGACTGAATGGTCAGGGAAGGGGGACAGCAGTGCTGTGCTGATGTCATGTGGGGGCTCCCCTGGAGCTGGGCTGTGCCTGGGCAGAGGATGCCTCTTCTCTTTTATTCCCCTTGATGAGAGGGAATCTGCCTGAGGCTCCGGCACAGGCTGTCCCCAAGCACAGACATTGGGGAGCACTGGATTCCCTCTCTCTCCCTCACTTGGTGGTGCCAGGGTAGTGGCATCGTGTAAGCTGGAGCACATCAGCCTCTGCCCATCGCTCTGCAGAGCTGAAGGAGGGGCTGGGGAAGGATTTCCTGGGCACAAAGCAAGCCCATGAGAGAACCAGGCTGGTACCATGCGCTGTGTGCTGCCCAGGCTTCTGCCTGCCAGCGCCATGTCCAGCACTAGCTGCCTGCCTGGCTTGGACTCCTGTGTGAGGGCACGTTTCCCACACAGAGCACAGCAAAGAGAGCCAAGAAAGCTGTCAGGAAGGACAGTCACCTGCCCTCAGACTGATGCAGTTCTGGGTGTGGCAGCCTGTGCTCAGTGAGGAGGAACCAAGGATATACTGCTCCCCTGTCCTAATGAGGGTCAGGAACTGGCACAAAGAGCCAGCAGCACACTGGCCTCAAGTAGGAGACCCTGCCTGGAGAGCTCCAGCCAAACCTGGGGCTCCCTCCTGTGAGCTGGCAGTGCATGGTAAATCCCAGCAGACTGCCACGAGCCTCTGGGCAGAGGTGGTTTCTGTTCGTGAGGTGATGCCTGGAGCCTTTGGGCACCTGCCCCTTGGCCAGGGTGGTGTCACTGCACTGCCCCCTCCTAGCCTGTGCCTCGGGGGAGCTGACAGAGCTGGGAGTCCCCTCACGTGCAGGAGGCACACAGAGCTGGAACAAGGACCGGTCCCTGTCAGGACGAGTCCGTGCCCTGTGGTCCTGGGGAAGGAGGCAGTTCTGTGTGTGGTAGGGCTGGAGCGGTGCTGGGGACCAGCTCCTCCTTCAGGGGGGCTGAGCAGCGCCGGGCTGAGCAGACAGGCGTGCTGGAAGCTGGCACCTCCTGCGAAGCTGACCGGGGGCCGGGCCACGCCTGGTTCTTGTCCCGCTCCGATGTCGCGATGCGCCCGGCGCTGGCGCCGCTCTGTGCCTCACAGCCGCTCTGTGCCCGCAGTGTACGTCGTGGAGGAGCGGCGGAGGGACGACACGGGCGAGAGCGCCTGCCTGACGGCGTGCTGGACCGCGCTCTGCTGCTGCTGCCTCTGGGACATGCTGACCTGACGCCGCTGCCGCCCCGCCGCTCACCGAGTGCTATGCAGGCTCCCCACTCCTGTCCCGACTTCTTTCTGTTACTGTAATCAACGCTCTGCTTTGCACAGCCAAGAGTTCCCGTCTGTCCGTCCTAGCGCCTTGTCGGGGTGGGGGGTGCACTCCTTTATTTTAGTAAAGGAAAAAAAAAAATCCCTTTTTAACATTTCTAAGACTTTTGTTGTAACTTTGAAGAATGTGCTAATGGTGTATTTCAGCCAAGGGCATTCTGATGAAATGTATATTTACCAGTTGAGATTTTCCTAGCCCTAGAGACGAAGACATACGCAATAATTAAAGCCAACAGTTGATTTTTCTTCACTAGGCCCCGGCTGTTTCAGTGAATCTGTCTGCAGGGTGGGCATCCCCTCTGGTGCTGTCTTTGGTCTCCTGTGGGCACTGACTCTGTAGATGGGAGTCCTTGGTCTGGCACCTCCAAGCCCCTCATCCCACACAGGGCAGCACAGTCAGGTTTTTATCCTTATGTTTTTCCCTTCTGGAGCCAGGGCCTTCTCCAGCAGCTCCTGGGACAGCAGAGCTGGGAGAAGCACAGGGCTGTGTGTGTGCCCCAGCAGCTCCTGGGGCAGGGCTGGTCCCAAGCTGCAGTCCGTCATCCCACACTGCAGAGCAGAGGCTTGCAGGAGGTAAATTAATGGGTAAGAAGAGAAAAGCCATGGATTAATCTAGTGCTGAGGATTTAGAGCTGAAGCTGTTCCATGGCACGCCTGGCCAGAAAAAGGATACAAAGCTTTTGTCTGCAGAAAAGTGGGGAAAACCTGCTGCTGGTTCCAGGGGGTGTGTCCCACCCTGCTGCTCCCCCAGCCTTGGGAGCAAAGCCCCCCTGGTGTCTGACACACACCGGCTCTGCGTGGCACTGCCTGAGATCACCCAGAGATCTCAGCCTGTCTGCAAAGGACACTGCACTCGCTGTCCCTTGGCTGTGCAGCTCCACCCTGGGCTCAGCAGTGCAGTTTGGGGCTCTGGTCTGGGGCAAGCTCATGTGTTTGGGGTTGATGAGAGTCCCTTGTAATTCCCTGTCCCCAGGAGCCTTCTTCTGGGGGCTGCCCCTCTGCAGCCCAGAGGTCCCTGCCCTGGGAATGACCACTGTCACCTTCCCTGGCACCTCCGTGGCAGCTTGGCAGCTGTCAGCGATCAGGAGTGGAGTCCCTGGGTCATCCTCCGCGGTGGGGGGAAGGTGGGGCAGCAAAGGGCCAGCCCAGAGTGTGAGAGCACCCGTGTGCCTACGGGGTGACAGCAGGGGGGGGCGGCAGCGGGACCTGGAACCTCCGAGATCCCGGGAGCCGCCGGGAGGCGCTGGGAGAGCGGCGGGGGCCGGGCCCCTGCGCCGCCCACAACGGCCACACGGTGGCGATGTCCGGCCGCGCAGCGCGGCCCTGCTGGGGCGGGAACGGAGCGGGACACAGGGAATGGAGCGGGACACAGGGAATGGAGAGGGAATGAGGGAACGGAGCGGGACACAGGGAATGGAGAGGGAATGAGGGAACGGAGCGGGACACAGGGAATGGAGAGGGAATGAGGGAATGGAGCGGGACAGCAGGAACGGAGCGGGAATCAGGGAATGGAGCGGGAAGAGGGAATGGACCAGGACAGCAGGAATGATCCCGGGCAAGAAGAATGACCTGGAGCAGTGGGAATGACCTCCTGGCACACTCCAGCCTGAGCCTGTTCCCACGCCCATGTCTGTGTCCGTGTCCATGACCATGGTTGTGTCTGTGCCTGTGCCAGCCTTGCCCACCTCCCTCTTCCCCCAGCAGGACTTTCCCCAGTGCCCACACCAGGCAGCAGGCAGTGGGTATCCACAGGATGAGGATACAGCAGGGATGCCCTGCAGGCCCCTCACCCCAGCTCCTCCCACCACCCCATTTCTCCATCACACCCACAGGGAGAGCAGCCACAGAGACACGTGCTTGTTTTATTAAGGTGGGTGGGGGGATCAGGAATGGGGATCAGCCAGGGCTGCCACTACTGTGCCCTGCGGGCCATCAGCATCTCCCGGATATTGTCTTCTGCTTCCTTCACGCTCCGCTCCAGGTACGACTTCTTCTGCTGCAAGGCAGAAACCAGAGGTAAGCCAGGATGCCCCAGCCCTGCCAGCACAAAGCTGGGTACCGGGCCCAAAGCCACCCAGGCAGAGCTGTGGGTGCTGGCTGGGGCACCCACCACTCTGCAGGTGTCCCATGTGGGGACAGCAGTTACTCATTCCCAGAGGCACAGACACAGGGCAATGTCTACACAGACTGAATTTTGTTCCCCCCGAAACCTTCTCAGAGCTGCCAGGGCTGTTGCAACAGTGGCTCTGAAAAAAGTGGGAGCCATGAACCTCAGCAAGGAAGGAAATCAAATCAGATCCTATAACTTTTGGAGCCTAGAGAGGGACTGACATGCCAAGCCTCCTTCTGGAGACACAGCAAAACCCTCTCCTTGGGCACAAAAGATTCTTTTTCCCAGCTGGGCCATTTTCTAACCCTATATCCTCCTTTATATCAGCAACTCCCTGCCACCATCACCAAATACGTGCTTCCTTAATCATCTGTAATTAGGCTAGGCTTGGCAGGGAAGCAGCCCCAAGCCGTGCATCCCCAGATAGGAATTCAGTGTGCAGCGTTTTTTCCTGCTAGTCTGGGTGCTCCTCTGTGGCTGGAAAAATCAGCACTTGGCTCTTTTGACTATTTTCTCTGGGTTTCCAAACAACAGACGCAACAGTCTCCTCCGGCGTTGCTGTGAGCACAGGCTCCCGTGCTGCCCATGTAAAGCCCTGCCCTGGGCCATGCCAGCTCCCACTAAGCACTGGCAGGATTGGCATTAAATTCCAGGAGTCCAGGCCTCCACCCAGAGCATCCTGCCAGAGGCTCTGCCAGACACCAGTGCCAGGAGCCCAGTACAGCAGTGCCCCCCAAAGCCCATCCAAACCAGGGACAGGTGAGGGGCAAGAGCTGCTGTGCTGCCCTGAGAGCCTCACCCTGACTTCTGTGAGCCCATGGGACTTGTAATGCTGAAAATCCATTAGCCCATGGAGCAGTCCTGCTGCCACCACTGCCCCTCCATCCCCCTGCTGTGGCACAGCTGCACACTCAGCTGGAATGGCCCTGCCATGAGGACATATCTCCCAGCCCTGCTTCTAAAGGCTGAAGGGTTTGCATTTAAATCCTAAAGGCTGCTGGTGACAGCCAGGGCCAGGGTTATGGCCCAGGGTTCCTTTTCCCTCTCCATGGTCCCCAGGCACGTGGGGTCTCTTTCACTTACAGGAACTGCTTTTGAGGAAACCACAGGGAGAAGAGCCACAGGTTCCCACTGCCAGTGACTCAGTGACACACGAGCAGGACTCTGTCACCACCGCGCTGTCCCCATTCTGCCTGCACAGACGTCGAGGAATTTCACTCATAGGGAACTGAGTCTGAGGGCAGCAAGAGGACACAGGCCCAAAAAACCCTTGTGGCTCAAAGCTTTACCTCACTCTGCTGACCAGAGGAGGATGGCAGCAGTAGTGCTGGCTTCTAGGGGGTCATTTTTTACTGAAGTTTTTTCTTAACACCATTAAATGAGTGCATGAAATGGTCCTGCCCTCCTGTCCTCTCCCCTGCCCCTGTCTTCTGCTCCCACCAGGCAGGAGGAGACAGCTCCAGAGAGCAGCTCTCCACAGGAACACTGTCCAGCACAACTGGGAGAGCCCAGGAGAATTTCAGACATCCCATCAGGAAGCCTTGCTGGTGCCCATGTGAGCCCCACTTCCATGAGGACAAGGGACCCTGACACAGCAAAGGAGCACCCATATGGCCCATATGTGGACCCACACTGCCCATCCCTGCACAGTGACATGCTTTGCCTTCCCCATGGTAAAGGGCTTGAGTTTAAGGCCATTTCTGCACTTAGACAGCACCTGCAGTCCCAGCTAGGGCAGGATTCAGGGAATTTTTCTTTACCTCAATTACCTAACTTCCGAGGCACAAGAATCTGGGCTGGTCCCAGTACTTTTACTCCCTCCCAGAAGCAGTTTCCAGAGTCCCATCTCTGGGCTCCAGGAGCATCCTTCGAGCATCAAGGGGAGCCCTGCACCCGCAGCCAGGGGCTGCAAACGCCCCGAGCTGTCCTGCAGCCAGGCAAGGAGCTGGGGCTGGCTCCCACTCCAGCCCACAGCCCGGATCACGGGCGAGCGAGGAGCAGACGGGCGCCACATTTTCCGAGACACGTGGCAGAAGCGAGGTGTTTGTTCCCCAGGAAGGGGGAACTGCAGCCCGGGTTCTGCTTCAGTCATCGCCGGAGCAGGAGCAGGAGGCTGCTGCAAACCCCTCCTCACTTCCATCACCGGGGTCTAGACAGGAAACTCCGTCTCTCCCAGGGAGCAGCGCCGAGCGAGCAGCTGACACACTCTGCCTACTCACACCAGAGCCCGAGACACGACAGCACAGCTCTGAAGTCATGCTGGAGGCTGTTCCGGTCCAGCCAGACCTGCCAGGCTGCTGGTATCTGTTCCCTGAACACCACCCTGCATCCCCAACCCCACCTCCAGCTTCCAGCTCTCAGCTTGCATTTGCACCCACAGCCCGAGTTAACCCTATATCCTCTGAGCCCCAGTTTGGGCCAGCTGTGGCTGCTGTGCATCAGCTGATGCATTTCCCTGGGAAAATGTGTTTGCTGCTCCAGGAGATTATCCTCTGCTACCTGTACCATGGCAAGTGCAGCCTGTGGGAATTCCCAGGGCAACGTCAAAACTGCACTGCTGGTTCTGGTCCCTTGTGAAACCAAAGGTGTCTGCTGCTCTCTGAAGCCTCTGGTTTCACTCCTACAGCTGTAGCTCCAGTGCTCACCAGTCAGGAGCCCAAGGGGACATAGCAGCACACAGGCCCTGTGCCACTGGCTTTGGTGGCTGCATGACCTGCAAGCTGCTGACCCAGAGCTCCTACTCACTACTCCCCACATCAGTGCCCTAAACTGCCCCCACCCTCCCCCAGCTCCTGTGAGCTCCTGGACAGGTAAGGTGGGTGCCCAAACTGGCCCCAGATGCCACTGCCTGAGCCACAGAGCTGCAGGGAAGAACAGAGAAAGGAGAGAGGCTTTGAGAAGGCAGCAGGGGGAAGTTGCCACATGACACTGAGCTCCCAGAAAAGCCCCAGCTTCCGTCTGACAAGAAGGGCCAGGCTCCACAGGAGGCTGGGCAGTGACCCTAGTGTGCTGCTGTCCCCCTGCAGTCTCGCCAGGAGTGTGGCAAGGCAGTGACAAGGAAACCCGGAGGGCACGACAGGAAGCAGCTGGTGTGTCAGCCACGGGCTCCAACTGCAGCAAGGGGCCGGTTCCTCCTCCTG